ATTAGTTACTGCGGCATTAATTACTGCGGCATTAGTTACTGCGGCATTAGTTACTGTGGCATTAGTTACTGTCACAGAAAATTAAAAGGCATTAAAATAATATTATAATAAGAATTAGGACTCTAAAAATTTTGGAAAAAAAATTAATCGGAATTCCGTCAGAAATTCTTTGGAACTCCGATGGAATTCCGACGTGTTCCGAGTTTCGGCGGAATTCTGATAGAACCTCCAGGGGGCACTTTCCAGGGAATCTTTCCAAGTGGGAAGAAGATTCTAATCGGTTAAAAAAAAAATGTTTCACAAAGAGAAAACTAAAGAATCCATTATAAAATACTGATTTCGGATTCTAATGAATGCAAAACAAAAAGGAACTCTCGTTAATGGCGTCACTTTCTAAATCATTTCCTATATATATATAAATTAGAACAGGTAGAGAGAAATAGGGAAACCTTTTTTTTTTGGAAAAAAAATCGAAAAATAACATAATAATAGAGAAGATTCTATTTTCAAAACGAAGTTCTGAAAAACACGTGGTTTCGATCATCATCATTATCATCATCATCATCATCATCATATATATATATATATATATATATATATATATATTGGGAAAGGTTAGGACATGGCTAGGAAGAAATCAACGCTCTATAATTTCTCACGAGCAATGTTTAGATTCACACGCGATATATACTGGAATTTCGTGTAATTACTATTCACTCGCGCTTTGCTGCGCATCTCAAGTGTAAGAATCGTTAATTTCTTGGTATATATATATATATACATCGCAACTGTTTCCGGTTTTTATAGCACGCGATACATATATGCCAAAACGTATTAAAATTTTGGGGTATCAATTTTTATTTTTTTTTTTTTCCTTTTAAATACCATTATTTATGATTTTAAAGAAAAAGAAAATCAGTTTTAGAAATGAAAATTTGGTTTACTTTTACTCTTTTCTGTTTTAACGCACATAAACATAAACGGAAAAAAGACTCGAGGAAAGTCGAGGTCGACGTCCGCGAACGCAACAAGTGCCGCAGCATTTCGCGCACACTTTCGTCTTTCTCTCCCATCCCCTCCCGCCCCCCCCCTTTTTTTTATCATTATCATCAATAAAAATCAGTGGATAATTTTGCAGAAAAAAAGAAACTACCGATTTAGCTCTTTTTCTTTTCATAGAAAATCAAAAATTTTACTTTCTTTAAAATTCGAATAATTCTGACTTTGGATTTTCGAATTTTAGGGATTGGGAAAATTAAATTAATTTTTCGTGTCGCGATCTTGTATATATATATATATATATATATATATATATATGTATATATACAGAGAGGAACGAAGAGCCGCGGGTTGAGTCGAGGTCGACGTCCGGGCGCAACAAGTGCTGTACTCTCCGTACTTACACCGCTAACACCCCACCCAACACATCAACACAATAACAAATGCAATGTACATGAGGAGAATCAGCCCTCTCCTCCCTCCTTTCCATATGTCCCTCTGCGTTCCTTAATGTACGCGAACATCGCACTGAAGTTTTTTTTTTTTGCATGTATGTGTGTGTGTGCTACATAAAAGATGCCGGAGGAGAATATATATACGCAAATACAAACGCTTTAACGTTGCGGGTCGTTTATATATATCTATATATATATATACATGTATAGCACACGTAAATATAAAACTGCACTGGGTCAGGGATCTGTGATTTATCGGTTGCCTCGTGTAATTGGCCGAGAGCCAATATAAGATACCCTAGGGTATCAAAAGTTAATGCAATATACGTAACCCTCTGTGTAACGTCAAAAATTTCTGTATATATATAGAATTCATCCCTTTAGTGGTGAAAAAATTATGGTTAAGGTGAATTTAATATTATGATTTTGTTTAGATTAACCAGAATTTTGTTTATTCCACTTAGAATTGGGTTTAAAAACCAGAATTTTGTTTATTTCAAAAAGATTTCTAATCAGAAGAACCAGAATTTTCGTTATTTCAACTAGAATTCTGGTTTTATTAACCATAATTTTGTTTATTTCAAAGAGAATTCTGGTTTTATAAACCAGAATTTTTGATTATACCAAATAGAATTCCGGTTATTTCAACTGGAATTCTAGTTATTACAATTAAAAGAATTGTTAATATTAATTTAACATAATTATTTTGGTTTTATAAACCAAAATTTTGGGTATTGCAACATGAACCCTGATAGGGTAAAATTAAACATAATTATTATGATTATATAAACAAGAATTTTGGTTATGGCAAATATAATTATGGTTTGGGTAAATTAAACACTATGATTCTGGTTAGATTAACCAGAAATCTAGTTATCTCAACCAGAATTCTATTTATTCCAAACAGAATTGGATTTATAAACCAGAATTTTTTTTATTCCAAATAGAATTCAATATGAACTAGAATTTTAGTTATTTCAAGTAGAATTCTGGTTATATAAACAAGAATTTTGGTAATTGCAACTAGAATTCAGCTTAAGGTAAATTTAACAGTACGATTCTGGTTACATATATGTGCTGGTTATATAAACCAGAATTTTCGTTATTCTAATTAGAATTCTAATTAAGGTTAATTTAATATAATTTTTCTGGTTATATAACCAGAATTTTTGTAATCCCAAATAGAATTCTGGTTGTATGAACCAGAATTTTGATTATTCTAAATATGATTCCTAATCTTAGGGTAATTTTAACATTATGATTCTGGTTAGATGAACCAGAATTATTGTTATTCTAACAAAAATTCTTGTTATTCCAACTAGCATTCCGATTAGGGTAAATTTAACTATATGATTCTGTTTAGATTATCCAGAATTTTGGTTATTTTAAATAGAATTTCGATTAATTTAACCAGAATTCTGGTTAGGATAAATTTTACATTTTGATTCTGAAAACACAATTTTAGTTATTCCAAATAAAATTTTGTTTAGGGTAAATTTAACATAATTATTTTGGTTATCTAAACCAGAATTTTAGTTATTTCAAGTACAATTTTTGTTATATAAACCAGAATTTTGGTTATTTTAAATAGAATTCCGGTTATACAAACCGGAGTTTTGGTTATTCCAACTAGAATTCTGTTTATATATATTTTGTGGTTATATAAACCAGAATTCTATTTATTCCAACCAGAATTCTGATTATATAAACCAGAATTTTGGTTATTTTAAATAGAATTCTGGTTATGTGAACCAGAATTTTCGGTTATTTCAACTAAAATTCTGTTTAAGGTAAATTTAACTATTCTGGTTATATAAACCAGAATTTTGGGAATTGCAACTAGAATTCTGGTTATATAAACCAGAATTTTGGTTATTTTAAATAGAATTCCGGATATACAAACCGAAGTTTTGGTTATTCCAACTAGAATTCTGTTTATATATATTTTGTGGTTATATAAACCAGAATTCTATTTATTCGAATCAGAATTCTGGTTATATAAACCAAAATATTGGTTATTCCAAATAGAATTCTGGTTATATGAACCAGAATTTTGGGAATTGCAACTAGAATTCTGGTTATACAGAACCAGATTTTTTGTTATTATTTCTATTATTAGATATATTTAACATTATAATTCTATGTAATGTATATATATATATGCTTTTGCAAAATAACTATCACTATTTTGACATTAAGCAAAGAAAAAATCCTTTTTCTTGTTTTTTTAAAAAAAAAAATACTTCCTTACGAAGAGTCAGTGTGAGAATAAGTCGAATAAAGGAAGAATTTAATTGATTCACGTTGACGCATTTACAGAGGTCAAATTCCTTGCTCTCGCGTAAGTGCGTTTCTGTATTATATATATATATATATATATATATATATATATATATATATATATATATATATATATATATAACATTATAAACTCGTGGCCTTCAGTGATATTCATTAAATCGCAATTAAAGCATGTCAATATCATGGCATGGAGGGTCAACAAACGTCATTTCCAAATATATATATATATATATATATATATATATATATATATATATATAAACGCTCCTAAAATGTACAATGCTTTACATTCAATATTTCTTTAGAATCCTTAAAGTTTATGTAATCTTTTCCTTTGAAAATATATAATTTCCGATTATTACATCTTAATTGTTCAAAAAACAAAATCAATATAATATATATATTATGATATATTTCGTATTTCGTAACATTTTTTGAATAAAGAATTCGATAACTCTTACGTAAATTATATTAAACTCAATGCATAATTAATTAAGTGGAAGAAAACGTCAATTTTATTGTTTTGAAATTATATCAAACGAATTATTTTCTGATTGATTCTTTTTAAAAAAAAAAAAAAATTTTTATATTTATTATATAATCAATTTTATAAAATTATTATTTTTAAAATTTATATTTATTAATTTATTTATTTACAATTTTTAATATTTTTAATTTTTAATATTTACAACTTTTAATATTTACAATTTTTAATATTTATAATTTTTAATATTTACAATTTTTAGTATTTATAATTGTTAATATTTATAATTATTAATTTTATCGTTTATTAATATCTATTATTATTTATAAAAAATATATAAATTTTTATTTATTTATTACTTTTATTACTGTAAAAAAAATGTGTTTTAAAATAATTTTTTTATTTATAAATCGAGAGATAAAAATAGAAATTTTTTTTTAATTAAACAAATTGATTATTAAATAAAATAAAATTTTTTTTTTTTTTTTATACAAAAATCATGAATGAATATTATTTTCGTTTTTCAGAGATGCAGTCGCATTCTCTCGGCTATTAAATGAATCTCCAGATACCGACCGATTCTGTGTGTATATACATATATATATATATATAGAGAGAGAGAGGCATAACCTCAGAAAATCCACGTGGTACATTTCACGTTTGTTTTTTTTTTCAAATTAAAATTTTCCTTCGACCAATGGGAATAGGTGTTTCTTTTTAGTAATTCAATAGTGAAATAATCGATATTTAAAATACTTTACCTTGATTGGGTAGAAATTTTCTCGTTGACGATTGACCCTCAACAACTTGTCCATCTTTTTTTTTTGCATCGCAACCCTTCATTACTGATTCAAATTTCATTATATTGTCATAAACCGGAACTTTGGCTGATAAAATTTTTGTTTTTTTCGAATAAAGGGCTTTTAAAGGATCAAAATATTCACTACGCGCATCTAAACTCTCGTCAGATGAGGTTTCATGGTCGTCCGCCATTTTTAAAACTAATCTAGTGACAGCCATATATAATTGGCGGGAATTTTTGAAAAAAAAATTCGAATGCCAAACATTGACAAATATGTTAATTTCTTTTTTTGTTTTTTTATTATTATTTAATTTATTATTTATTAATTATTTATTAATTATTTCTATATTATTTGTTTTATTATTTATTATTTATTGTTATTTATTATATTTTATTATTTATTAATTATCATTAGGTATTTATTATTATTTATTATTAAATTTTTATTTAATTTTAATTTCTTATTTAATTTTCAGTTCCGTATTCATTATAATAATAAATATTTTTATTTTCTATTTTAATTTTCAATTTACTTTTTACAAATTAAAAATGAATTTTTTTTTTGAGAAAATTAAAAATATAATTTAATTTAAAACTTGAATATTTCGCACACAATGAAAAAAATTTATTTGATTCAAAAAAACGTTTACTTGCGACTATTATCGAATAAATATTTATTTGAATTAGATAATTATTATATTTGAGATGGTATTTGTTTCAAATATAGAAATTATTTGTTCAAATACAATTTATATAATTGAAATAAATATTTATTTAGTTCAAGTAAATATTATTTGGTTCAAGTAAATATTTATTTGCTGCAAGTAAATAATTATTTGGTTCAAGTAATTATTTATTTAATTCAAGTAAATATTTACTTAGTTCAATGAAAATATTATTTGTTTTAAGTAATTATTTATTTGCTGCAAGTAAATAATTATTTGGTTCAAGTAAATATTTATTTGGTTCAAGTAAATATTTATTTAGTTTAAGTAATTATTTATTTTATTAAAGTAAATATTTACTTAGTTGAATGAAAATATTATTTGGTTCAAGTAAATATTTATTTGGTTCAAGTAAATATTTATTTGGTTCAAGTAAATATTTATTTAGTTCAAGTAAATATTTACTTAGTTGAATGAAAATATTATTTGGTTCAAGTAAATATTTATTTGGTTCAAGTAAATATTTATTTGGTTCAAGTAAATATTTATTTAGTTTAAGTAATTATTTATTTTATTAAAGTAAATATTTACTTAGTTGAATGAAAATATTATTTGGTTCAAGTAAATATTTATTTGGTTCAAGTAAATATTTATTTAGTTCAAGTAAATATTTATTTAGTTTAAGTAATTATTTATTTAATTTAAGTAAATATTTACTTAGTTCAATGAAAATATTGTTTGGTTTAGTTAAATATTTATTTGCTGCAAGTATATAATTATTTGGTTCAAGTAAATATTTATTTGGTTCAAGTAAACATTTATTTGGTTCAAGTAAATATTTATTTAGTTCAAGTAAATATTTATTTAGTTTAAGTAATTATTTATTTAATTTAAGTAAATATTTACTTAGTTCAATGAAAATATTGTTTGGTTTAGTTAAATATTTATTTGCTGCAAGTATATAATTATTTGGTTCAAGTAAATATTTATTTGGTTCAAGTAAACATTTATTTGGTTCAAGTAAATATTTACTTAGTTCAAGAAAATTTTTTTTTAGTTTAAGTAATTATTTATTTAATTCAAGTTCAATGAAAATATTATTTGGTTCAAGTAAATATTTATTTGGATCAAGTAAATATATATTTAGTTTAAGTAATTATTTATTTAATTAAAGTAAATATTTACTTAGTTGAATGAAAATATTATTTGGTTTAAGTAAATATTTATTTGCTGCAAGTAAATAATTATTTGGTTCAAGTAAATATTTATTTAGTTTAAGTAAATATTTATTTCGTTTAAGTAATTATTTCTTTAATTCAAGTAAATATTTACTTAGTTCAATGAAAATATTATTTGGTTCAAGTAAATATTTACTTAGTGCAAGTAAATATTTAATTGGTTCAAGTAAATTTTTTTTTTCACTGCAATTAACTAAATTAAATTTTTAAAAGCATTTTTTTTTCCACCGAAGGAAATAGAAAATTTCTTTTTGATGAAAGACAGCGGCACTAATGATTAATATTTTTTTTTTTCGCGTTGCAATTACATTTTTTTTGAATTGATGGGGAGATGATATAAGAGAAAATGGAAAAGAATAATTTGCCAAGCTCTTATGAAAGAGAAGGTAAAAGTTGTTTATATTGTTGTTGATCACATACACACACTCACACAGAGAGAGAGAATAAATAAGTTCGTTGGCATCATCCGCGTGCGAATGGAAAATGAATCGCTTTGTAAATCGCTTAATTATAATGGTCGAGAGACGCAAAATACGCGGGCGCATATAGAGTAGAATTTCATAAAGAAAAAAAAAAAAAAAAAGGAAGGAAGAAATTGAAGACGATGCCAATAGTTAGATATATAGGATTTTATTATAATGTATGTAATAGTAGCATTCTGGCATGGCATTTCCATGAAAGTGAAAACATTGCACACGGAGTGAAAACTTTCTTTCTTGGCTGCAGGTTGTTTCACTTCCTGTGTGAGCGCGTAACTTCACGCGGCTTCAATATATATATATATATGTATATTGCCATTTTCTATGCAGCAGCCTCTAAATACAAGGCTTTTACATAATATATAGCACCCAGCAACCGAGAAAGAAAGTTTCCACCATGGGGAGGTTAACATCCTCTCCTTCTTTTGCTATTTAAATATATATATGTATATATACTTATTAGTTGAGGAAACTCGCAAAACCAGTTTTCTATATATATGTGTGTGTGCATTCCGCATGAAAAATCGCGACAAAAAAATCTCGTCAAATATATATATACAAAATGTTAATGTCTGAGAAATCTGGAACAAATTTCGTTTTTGCGACAAAAAAAAAAAAAGCACAAACAATTTCTTCCTTTATAATATTGAACTTGAATTACGGAACTGATTTTTTTTTTTAATCTCGTTTTTACTAAAATTTATTTGAAACAGCGAAAGATTTATAACTGAAACAGGTAAAACTTTTGCTATTTTAGTGAAACGTTTCGCTATTTTCGTCAAATCGGACAATAAAAATCATTAATTAAAATTTTTAATAATTTTATTATGTATAATTATTTTTTTCAATGAATTTTCATTTTTCGTACTAGAATTTTAGAAAATTTCTTTTTAAACTAATTTTTATCTGTATTCTTATATGTATCGAATTTTTATTTGTCCGAAATTCCAAATGGTCGTACAATCGATTTTAGAGCGCGATTTTTAAAATCCACCAATCACGATTTTTTTTTTTATGACAATCATTTGATTCGTGAATTTACAAGAATTTTTTTTTTTTTAAACAAATTTTTACTTTACTGAATTTTTAGATATTGAATTTTTATTAGAATTCTTACAAAAAAAAAAAAAAAAAAAAATTTGACTCCTGAAATAGTAAAAATTATTCCAGAAAGAGTAAATTTTATTATTTTCAGAGTTCTGCGCATTTCTGATAATTTTTACTCCAGAAATAGTAAACATTATTCCGGAAATTGTAAATTTTAGTATTTTTTAAGTTTCTGCGCATTACTGATATTTTTTACTCCTAAAATATAGTAATATTTACTATTTTCGAAATAAGTTTTACAATTACAGGAGTAAAAATTATGAGAAATTCGCAGAAACTTTGTAAATAATAAAAATTTACTTTTTCCGGCATCATTTTCACTATTTTTTAAGTAAAAAATAATCAGAAATGCACAGAAACTTCGAAAATAGAACAATTTTTTTCGAAAATAATAAAATTTACTCTTGAAATAGTAAAATTTACTCGTCTGAAATAGTAAAAATTATTCCGAAAATAGTAAATTTTACTATTTTAGGAGTAAAAATAGTAAAATTTACTATTTTCGGAATAATTTTTACTTTTTTCTTTATTTTTTTAAAATAGTAAATTTTACTATTTTTACTCCTAAAATAGTAAAATTTACAATTTTCGGAACAATTTTTACTATTTCAGAAGTAAATTTTATTATTTTCGGAAGAAAAAATATCAGAAATACGCAGAAACTATGAAAATAGTAAAATTTACTACGAAAATATAGTAAAATTTATTCTTGAAATAGTAAAAATTATTCCGGAAATAGTAAATTTTACTATTTTTGGATTTTCTGCGAAATTGCGACAAATTTTACTCTAAAAATAGTAAAATTTATTCCGAAAATAGTAAAATTTATTCCTGAAATAGTAAAAATGATTCCGAAAATAGTAAAATTTATTCCTGAAATAGTAAAAATTATTCCGAAAATTGTAAATTTTACCATTTTCGAAGTTTCTGCACATTTCTGATAATTTTTACTCAGAAAATAGTAAAAATTATTCTCAAAATAGTAAATCTTACTATTTTCGGAGTTTTTACGCATTTCTGGTAATTTTTACTCCAAAAATAGTAAATTTTACTATTTCTGGTAATTTTTACTCCAAAAATAGTAAATTTTAATCCTTCTGGTAATTTTTCTCTGAAAATAGTAAATTTTACTAATTTAGGAATTTTTGCGGATTTCTGGTTATTTTTACTTCAAAAATAGTAAATTTTACTACTTCTGGTAATTTTTCTCTGAAAATAGTAAATTTTACTAATTTTGAAATTTTTGCGGAATTATTGTTTATTTTTACTCCAAAAATAGTAAATTTTACTATTTCTATAGTAAAAATTACCAGATATGCGCAAAAATTGCTGACAAATTAAAATTCGTTTAATTTTAATTTCTGTCAATTAAAAAAATTTGAATCAAATAAAATTCGATTGAATGAGAATTTTGCTAATTTAAAATCGATCAAATTAAAATTCTCTTAAATAAATTAAACTAAATTACAATAGAATAAAAATTTTCCCAAACAAAAATTAGAATTCGTTAGAAATTTTGTTAATAAAACGTAATTTATCGTTAAAATTAAAAAAAATGACAATTTTAATAATTTTTTTTTTTTTTGAAACTTTTTAAATAACTAATAAAACTGGTTATTTTATTACATTTATCGACTGTTGCGTAATTTATCAAAAAAATAAATTTATTTTCCAATAACTTTGCAATATCGAACCGGATTTATATTTAAATGATAAAGTATAGAATTTAAATGACAATGATAATAAATAATTTTTAATTTAAAAAAAAAAAAATTTCTTTTTTTTTTAATAATGAATTTTTATTATTTGATTTCAGAGGAAGAAGAAGAACACAGGAGCCAATAGGGTGTGAAACCCGCAATAAAAGAGACAAGAGAGAGAGAGAGGCGATTAAGGTGGTGGTTTTTGGATGTTAGAAGGCGCGGGGGTGGCTAAAAAGGCCCCGTCGCTGGGTACGGGTCCCAATGCCGGTCCCCGTATCGCAAACCCATACGTTGACCTCCACCCTCGTACCCAAGGAGGAGTCAAACATGCCCTTCATCGATGACGAATTACTCTGGTGCCCTGACAACGACGGCAAAATGGTTGATCTCACTCAATGTCTTCAGGTATTTCCTTTTTTTTCACCTTTAAACTACCATAACGGTCTCTCAGACCGCATTTTTTTTTTAATTTTAATAAAGTTTTAGTAAAAAATTAATTAGGATAAATAAATAAAATTTAAAATAATAAAATAATAAAATAATAATAAAATAATAATTATAATAATAATAAAATAATAATTATAATAATTATAATAATAATAAAATAATAAATATTTTTTTTTTTTGTTTTACTTTCGGCATTGTTTTATTTTTCTTTTTCAATTTCTCTATGAATTAATTACACTTTCTTTTAACGTTTTATTATCATTTATTATTTATTAAAATATACTAATTTTATCTAAATGTAAAAAAAAAGAAACTAACAAATGAATATATATATATATATAGTTAATTTCTTGTATAGAGTATATTTGCGTAAATTTAACTTCAAAGTTTTCTCACATTAAGTCACATATGACAAGACTTCTTTCTTCTCTCTTGTGTTGCCTATATACTAAATTCATGTTTTCACTGGAAGATTTCCATCTTTATCGACCTTGGAATTTTTTTTTTATAATGTATGTTTAAAGCTTCAGAATTATATTTTCAAGGATCTAATGCTATTTTTTTTTTTTTTTTTTTCAATGCGTGTATATATTAGAAAAGGTGTATTCATTTATATTTATCCTGATAATTAATGTATTAATATAAAATGTTAAATCTCGTAATTAATTATTTTAAAATTGATTTTTCAATTAGAGATTTTATTTTTATAAACATAATTTTATTTTTGTTAAATAAAAATATATTTTTGTCTTTGGGGAAAAAAATATTATTATTATTATAATAATTAATATTAATTTTTATTTGTTTGTTATATTATTTTTTTTTTTGAATTATTAATTATTAATTTATAAAATAATAAATATAAAAATGGGATTTATTTGTATTTGTTATAGTTTTGAATGACCGAATTCTAATAAGTAATTTTTTTTTTTTTCCAGGAAAGCAATACAGGGCAACCGGTCGAATTTTCGGCAATGGAATTAAGTGCCCTTGTAGGAGTTCCGGCACCTCCAACTGGAACCACGGAGGAGGCTGAAGGAATGTCCGGAGTTAATGGCGAGGAACCCTTTGACACCTTGGACACGTTCCTTCGAGAATTACAAGCCGATTTGGCGGAAGCCAATCAACCCACCTCAACAACTGCCTCCCTCTTATCATGTAGGCGGCAGAGGTACAACATTGCTGCCGCAAATCCCCTTTTAGCAGGTAAATAATTTAATTTTCACTATTTTCCATAATGTTGAAATTTTAATTTTTTTTTTTTAATTTCAATTTTTCAACTATTTATTTAAACATATTTAAATAGAAAAAAATAATAGATTTATTTCTCTCTGTTGGGAAAATTGTAATAATCAAAAAAAGAAATTTTATTGTTCTCAGAAAAATTATCAACACCCACGACGCAGACATCGCAGACATCTATTCCCTATGCGACGAGGGCGGAAATCAAAACGGAGAACATTCAGCCGGAAACGAGTAAAGGTAGGAAATTTTGATTAGAAAAAAAAAATTTCTATTTTATCGACAGTGAAAATAGTATACCGACTGTTGATTTATTACCAATTGGAGATAATTTACCGACGGGAGATAATATTTACCGACTGTTAATAATTTACCGTTGGGAGATAAATTTATCGACTGCGGTTTTAAGTTACCATTGGCGAATTTTTCTCAAAGGTTTTTTTTTTATCGACTAGTGTGGAAGCTAGAAAAAAAATAGAGAGGTGTGATAAAGAAGATTTCAACATGATTTGTTGTTGTTGGAAGAAAAAAAAAAAAAACGATTAGCTGGTTATTAACTTTGAAAGGAAAACCGGCCAAGGCCTTTCAAGAAATCGCGAACAGACATCCGCGTTGGCAATAATTGCTCGGTTCGACGATGTACTTGAAAAATATATATACGGAGGCACGCACAGTGGCTTGCAGCTCGCACATAATCGACCGTCGTGGCCCAATTCTTACAATTTACAATCGTTTCGTAATATTCTTCTTCTGCCTTTGCAATTTTACTCCCTCGATTATAATTTTTTTTTTTTTTTTTTTTTTTTTTTACTTCTCACATAATAGAGATTTCTTTCAAATTGTTATTTAAAAATATTTTCTATTTTTAAATAAACATTTTTTGTTCAATAAGATTTTAGAATTTAATTCAAAAAAAAAAAAAAACTATTTCAATTTTTTAATGTAAAAAAAAAAAATTGTTCTTCGCGGAAGTTTCTCCAATAGAATTTGTTTTTGTTAAAGAATGACGATTATAGGAAAAAGAAAAAAAAAAAAAAAAGAATATTCATCTCGCTTGTGTCACTTTCGCCTTGGTTAGAGTGCGGAACAATCTCTTTTAGGTTTTCTCACATCAATCGCGCGTTTGCGTGCTCAGCATAATCGATCCTTTATAAAAGTTTCAACGCACTAAAGAGTAAGCAGAGCGTCACCCAAATTTTGCGCGAGAACAATTCTTAATTTTTTTTTTTTGTTTTTTTTTCTATTTTCACTTTTTCATGGAAAATTTTTCTTTACGCTAATTAATATTTCTTCTTTTTACTAATTAATTTTTCTAAATTTCCATTTTGACAAATTAATAATTGTGTAATTTTCATACAATAAATCCGATTTTTTAGTCGCATTTATTGAATTTTTTTTTGGGTTTTCATTTTTATTGTTCCACTTTAGAAAAGTGACTCAAATATTGAATCAATTTCCGTTCGATTGTAAGTTTTTTTTTTTTTGGACAAATAGAAAATAGAACAAATAAAATTTTTTTTGATATATAATATTTAATAATCATATATTTTTACGCCATTCTGATTAAAAAGAAAGAAAAATAGAACACGCGTGTTTTTTTAAGGCACACTTTTTTTTTTTACCTATACACTTGTGTTTGTTCAAATTAATAGGGACAAAAATTACTAATAAATTCAATAGTAATTTTTTTATTCAATTTTTCAATTATTAATTAATTAATTAATTAATAAAATTAAATAATTATTTTACACGGAAGACAAAATTTACTTGAAACAGCGTAAGATTTGAGTGAAAATAAATAAAACTTTTGCTACTATAGCTAAATCTTTCGCTGTTCCAAAGAAAATTTTTGTTTCCATGTTATAATTATTTTTTAAAAATAAATAATTTTATTAATTAAATAACTGTTTTAAAAATTAAATAATTGTTTCATAACTTAAATAATTATTTTACACGAAAAACAAAATTTACTTGAAACAGCGAAAAATTTGACTGAAATAAATAAAACTTTTGCTACTATAGCTAAATCTTTCGCTGTTCCAAAGAAAATTTTTGTTTCCATGTTATAATTATTTTTTAAAAATAAATAATTTTATTAATTAAATAACTGTTTTGAAAATTAAATAATTGTTTTAAAACTTAAATAATTATTTTACACGAAAAACAAAATTTACTTGAAACAGCGAAAAATTTGATTGGAATAAATAAAACTTTTGCTACTATAGCGAAATATTTTGCTGTTCGAAGTAAATTTTTTTTTCCATATTATAATTTTTTTTTAAAATAAATAATTTTATTAATTAAATAATTGTTTTAAAAATTAAATAATTATTTGAATAATTAAAATAGTTTATTAATTAAATAACAGTTTCAAAAATTAAATAATTATTTGAATAATTAAAATAGTTTATTAATTAAATAACAGTTTTAAAAATTAAATAATTATTATTATTTCCTTAAATTGTGAATTTAATTTTTTTTTATATAGTAAAGAAATTGAACTTGTGATCGTAATTTTTTATGTAATTTTCTCTAAAAGATTTGAAATTACATTATTTTTTGTTATGACAAAACGTGAGTCATGTTTTTTTTTTTTTTTTTTTTTTTTTTTTTGGCGGTGAGGAAAATATAATTCGGGCATATAAAGTTGCGTATAAACGACATTATATAGTGAACGCGTGACAAGTGAACGCGTCCCATAGGAAATGGTGTTTATTCCCTCGACTGCATCCACAGCTGTCTGTCTCAGCGTCCGTCTGTCTTTCTGTTCGTTGCACTTGTCGCTGAATATATGTATATATATATACCCTCGTTCCCTTGACCCTACCCAAACACATAAGTTGTTCCCCTAATGCTCTCTGCAAGTACTCTGAAATAGATCTCACTCTCTCTCTCTCTCTTCACTCAGAACCCCTCATGTATTATATATATACAACAATTTGCACCAGTGGGAAAACAGGTACTTTGAATTCCACTTCAAGGACCGTTTTCCTATTTAATTATCTCATTCGAATTTATATTTTATTGAAAAATGATTTTATTTTTTTTATAGTATATAAAAATTAAGAGTATTTGATGGAATTTTGAATTTTTTAAAGGAATTTTTAATTTTTAAGGCGCCGAATTCTTATTTGACTGTTTTTTTTCAGTTTATAGAATTTCTCTAATTTTCTAAAGGACCGAATTTTAAATTTATTTTATTTAATTATTTAATTTAATATTTAATTATTTAATTTATTATTTAATTTATTATTTAATTTAATATTTAATTTAATATTTAATGTAATATTTAATTTATTATTTAATTTAATATTTAATTTATTATTTAATTTAATGTACTGAAAAAAATTTTTTTTGATTCAAATACTCAATTACTCTTGACTATATATTATCAATTAAATAATTTACTATGAACCAAATAATTTTTTATTTGATATAAATAAATTTTATTTGAATCAATAAATTTTGTATTTGTAACAAATACTAAATAATTATTTAATACAAATAAATATTTATTTTTAATAATAGTCAAGTAATCGAGGTATTTGAATCAAATATAAATTTTTTTTCTCACGTGTATTTAATGTATAATATTTAATTTAATTAAAAATATTAAAATTTAGTATTTTAATTTAGCAACAATTCTCATTTATTATAATTTTAGATTCGAATTTTTAAATATGCTCAGAAAATTTCTAATTCATCGCATTTTCATTGGTGCAAATTTTTGTCCGAATATAATATAAAATATAATAATAAAATAATAAATAAATAAATAATAATAAAAATATAATAATATAAAATATTTATTTGTATTAAATAAAAAATATATTTAATTCAATTAATTCGTATTTGTTTCAAATATACTGAAATTATTGATTAAAATTTCAAAAATGCCGAATTTGATCGAAATTCCAAATGACTGAACAAACATAAACAAAATAGATTTCGGCGGGAATTTTGAAATACGATATAAATAATCATAGGAATTAGAAAATTTGATGATTCTCGTCAATTTCGAAAATTCGGATCGAAATTTATTTTTTATTCATTTTTTTGGTCACATTTGTAATCTCGGACAAATGAATATTCGCCTTTTTTTCAAAATTCTAAATATTCTTACAAAATGAAAAATTCGAATTTTACTGCGAATTCGATAAAAATTAAGAATTCTTTTTTAATAAAACGCATTTGATAAAGAGAAAATTTTCTAGAAAATAAAATAAATAAAATAAATAAAATAAATAAAATAAATAAAATAAATAAAATAAATAAAATAAATAAAATAAATAAAATAAATAAAATAAATAAAATAAATAAAATAAATAAAATAAATAAAATAAATAAAATAAATAAAATAAATAAAATAAATAAAATAAATAAAATAAATAAAATAAATAAAATAAATAAAATAAATAATAAATAAATAAAAATAAAAATTCGGCGGCCTAAAAATTCTTAAATAAAAAAAAAGTAAAAAAATTAAATAAACATTGTTTTTTTTAAAAAAAACTAATTCTGCAAATTGCTAATTCAAAGAAAGAAAATCTTGTAAAATTCTTTAAAATAAAAAAAATTTTAATATTTTGTTAATTTTATCTTAAATTCACATATGGATGTATAATTTATTCGTGAGATATATTGAAAAAGAAAGAAAACAAAAGAACATATAAATGTTTGTTTATATCTTTATTCACTATCGTTTTTTTTTTTTTTTATTATATTGTCTTTTATCATTAACACTGTTTTGAATCATTTTTTTCACACGTGGTAGTGGTGGTGGTAGTACAACTATTTTCTTATATACATATATAGTATATATATATATAATTTATAGTAAACAAGTTCCGCAGGTGTAGGACGCATAGGTCGCAATATATGAGCGAAAGAGCACAAATTGAGTAATCGGCTTCCTCGTATTGCTTCAGAATATTCAGTGATTGAAAGTTTATTCAAGAATATACTTGAATTATTTTATATATATATGTTTCTTAACTGTCAGATTATATATACGTATACTAATGCGTGAATGTTATTTTTTTCCTTGAAAAAAAAAAAAAGAAAATGCACGTTTTGAATTGATTATATTATGATAACTCTCTTCGAAGATGCATTATCTTAATCCCACACGATTTTGATTATTGTTTTTTTAATTATAAATTATTATTATTTTTATTATTAGTATTAGTAGTAATTACATTTATTATCATTATTATTGTTACTTTAATCCATTTTAGTTT